ATTGCCCTGGGGTAAAAATGGATCAAACAGCATTTCTGAAATAAAAATCTGTGTGGCAACGATGTTGGAGACCTTGCCTGTTAAAAAGTCGAGAATGAAGGAAGGATCTAGAGCTTTGAGATACAGCTACAGGGAAGAAGAGGAATCATCTGAACTTATGACAAGGACTAGATAGGAATAAATATATTTCAGGACAAATCTGAGTTGGAAGACGTCTGAAATCCTACTTTAAGACAAATCCCAGAAGACTACATTACCTGGTCAAAGGAAGACTCAAGTTTAGAAATAACAGAAATGTACTGTGAATACTGACTCTTCAGACTTCTCAGCGACTAGATCAGGACTCATTATTTAAATTCCCTTACTCTTTGAAATTGAATTGTATATACTTCATCTAAAACACACACATATTGTAATTTCTTCCATAATTGGAAAATCCAATTTAATTTTTTTCAAAAACACTGCAGGAATTACTTCAGATTCAAGTACAAGCAGATAGGTTTGTAATGCATTTAGATAATTCTAGTTCAACTTCTATATTCAAAAAAGGATTTTACCGCATTTGTCTATCACAGGATAAATCCTCATTGTATTTGGCACAATACCCGAGACCTATTGATCTAGCACACACAATTATGTTTGAACTTCATTGTTATAATATTTAATAGTTGAATTCCATCTCTGTATGACTTGTGACTATGCAGTAACACACCATCAACAAATAAGAACATTTTCCATGCTTTCTAGAATGAGTGAAAAGGTCGTTTCACTGGTTTTACAGACAGCAAAGATGCTTTAAAGCTTACTAACCATACATAGAAGCAGCTCCTCAGGATGCAAGATAAAAAATAGCACACAAATTTATATATTCTATAAAAGCAGTTCTAGCAGTGTGCTGGTTTTGGCTGGGATAGAGCACACACAGCTTCCAAGAAAAAAAAATAATCCAGGCCATTCTTTTATACATTCATAAAAATATGACAAGGTCCATGCCAAAGAAGGAACAGAACACAGGAATCAAGACATAGCCATTCATAAAGATCAGTTGATGGTGTCAAAAACCCCACAGAATAGTATTGTTTTCCCAGGACTCATTAAAGTAAAAAGATACACCCTGAAAGATGTTTCTTAGGACTGAATACTATTTGTATATCTCTTCCAGAAATTTCTCAGCACACTATAGCATTTTTACCAAATCGCATTGCTCTGATTATATATGCTGAAGTTCACATACTCAAAATATATTCAGCGCAAATTAGGTTATTACACTTTGCTGTTTTACAGATAAAAGATATATCATGGCAAACCAGAAAAGGAAAGATTTCACTCAGTAATGTATATTATCCCTTAAAATTCCCGATTTCACATATCAATTTCAGCAAACAAGATTACATTAGCCTGATTCAATTATTTTCTTCAAGAATTTTTACAAAAGTTTTTGGTTTTTTTAATGCTTTACAAAAGTCATAAGAATTAATGACTGAGGACAGAGTATATGAGAAAAAACTTTGTATACACCAACCACTCAGTCTTTCACACGTCAGTTGTCTTATGTTAGGAAACAGCATTTCACTGTCTGATTCAGTTTTTCTCAGTTTTTAAAAACATGGAACCTCTTAATATCCATTTCTATCTCAAAAGCAGCAGCCCAAAAAAATATTTTTCTCATATAAACAGAATGGTGCAGGCTGTAGAAATGTGAGATATCAATTCTCTCAAGTGAAAAAGTCAAATGAAATATTAAGTGTACATTTTGTCAACTGAACTAAAAAGATGTACTATAGTCTGTAAAAACTGATAGCAAAGCTATTTAAATAAACCACTGGCACTTTTTATGGTCTATTTCTCTGTCCTCAGAAATAGCTTGTGTGAAAGGAAATTATGTTTCTACACAATAGTCCTGAAAATGAAGAGTTCCTTGTTCTATGTTGGTTTCCCAATTTCTCTTAAGTGAAATTGTAGCCTTAGTTCCTCTTCATATGGTGGTGTCAGAGAAGAAAGGAAGAAAAACTAACACAAACATATCAAAAGGACCCCTCAGCCTGCCACAAATGTTCAAGGACAAAACCAACTTTACAATGCATTACAATACGTAGTAACATCCTGCTCTTAAGAACAGAGTTAGCAAAGGATTTCCAGGCACGCACAGTCATTTGAGACGTGCAGGTGACTTTTGCCATGTCTTGAACTTCACTGGCCATGACAGAGAGATGCCAAGTTCAGCCTCTAGCTCTGCTCCCCCAAACCAGGCTGACAATAGCCATCTGCCCTCTGCTAAGCGCAAAGCTGTAACTCTCCTTGACTTCTCCTATGACCCCTACCTGCACAACATGGGGACGCAAGTACTTTCTATGGGCAGGAAGAACCTGGCCTTTAAAAATGAGGGGCCATTGTAATGTTTTAAATGTTGTCTCTAGAGATGCGGTGGTTCTGCCTTTAACAGGATGTCCTGGTTTCAGCTGAGACAGAGTTAACTTTCTTCATAGTAGCTAGTGAGAGGCTATGTTTTGGATTTGTGCTGAGGAGAAGCCTGATAACATACTGATGTTTATAAATGTTGTCAGGTCAGTCAACAACTTTTCAACTTCTCTGCTGTGCCAGCATCTGCAGACACAGGAGAAGCTGGAAGGGAGCACAGCCCCAATTACTAGCCTACGATCTGACGTTAAGTTTAGGACTGAGACCCAAATGGGCCAATGGCATATTCCATATCATGCACGTCATGCCTGGTATATAGGTGAGGCTCTGTCTGGAAGCTATCTCCCTTGCTCCAGGTTGTCTCCCTCTGGGTCACCCCTCTCTCAGGGTCATCTTGGTCTCTCAGACATTCAGGCTCTTGTCTCTCTTCTGGGATTGTGGTTTCAGGACTCTCCCTGCTCCGCAATCATTAGCCAGGAATGGGCTGAGCCTTGGTCATCAGGTGGTGAGCAATATCACTGTGTATCACTCATTTGTATATTTGTATATGTTATTATTATCATTATTATTATTTCCAATATTATTGTAGTTTAATTATTAAATTGTTTGTTGATTGAGTCTTCTTTTCCCTTTACCTCTTTAATTCTCTCCCTCATCCCCAGGAGGGGGGCAGGTGAGTGAGCAGAGTTGTACTGTTTTGCTGCCAGTCAGCGTAAAACTACAACACAGGCATAGTGCATGCCAACCTGCGCAAAAGGATTTTCCTTTCCCGATTAAACATTTAAGAGCAGACATAGCATTTCGTTACTAAATGATTAAAGATAGATAATAACTGGAAATGACATATTGATAAAGGAGCCTGTGGGCATACTGCAATCTCAAACAGGTAATGACCTTGCAGCAGTAGCTCCAAAGGAACATTTCTCAGGCATGTGTAACACCACAGTATTCTCCAAAATCCGGGCAATTAGGTAAAAATACCTGAGGAGAGAACCCAGCTGAACTCAACAGACGTGTTGTTTAAAGTTAACATAACCATGGCACCTAGCCAAAGAATCACCTCTGTGTGTTTGTCAGTTTGTAATACCTCAGTTGGTCTAAGAAGCCAGTATAAAAAAAGCAAAAGCACTGTATATTATTCTATGCTAGACACACACAGTGCTTGAACTCTTAAGGTCTTAAATGTGCACACACATTTAAATGAGGAAAAGACAAAAAAATTATATTTCCCTGTACATAAACAAAATTAATGTCAAAACAATTTTTTGGTTTTTATTCCTCAAAGCAGTATAGGAAGAAATAGAAATGTAGTATCATCTTCTAGGACGTACACTCCCTCAGTTGTACTGTTATCAGCTATTTTATTCTCTCTTCCTAGCTGCTTATAATCACCTTTTCAGCAGATATGAACATTTGCTGAGAAGGATGGAAGCAAAGCACAGATGTCAACGTTTCTACAGAAACATGCAGATGCTTCTGTTCAATGCCAGCTTCTTTCATGAAACACTCCTTCCTCTACTACGGAAATTCTGTTTTCTAAATAATAATAGAACAGAACCTTTTTGATCTTCACAATTTGGTTTGTGCAGCTAATGTTAGCTAAGGGCTCTCCTGCATGACTGTGCTTCTATACAAAAAAATTGACACCTAAAATGGCATCCATGTGGCAAAACACTGCAGATAGTCCCTATAAACATAGCCCACAACACTTAATGTAAATTCTGCTGAAGATAATCCCCTTTCAATAAACAGCATGGAAAAGCATTCTCAATGTCTAAAGGAAAGGCTCTCTAGATCAGCTTCATAAATCCTTAAACAGCAGTAAATCTAGTTCTGTCACCAAGAGGTCTTACAAGATCTTTTGAGAAGGTATAGAAACTAATCTCACAAACCCTGTTGTACATTTTCAGTATTAGCATAGCTTGTCTTTGAGAAACTTGTATCTTAATAATTACATTTTGCATAAACTGAAGTATAAAGTTACTACCCATTTGTATGTCAAGGCAGACTGGTTAGTAACACATTCTGTTTGGAGTATCATAACTGCCTTGCTTATTATTACAGAAAAGTTACTACTGAAAGGGCTCAGAAAAGTTACTACTGAAAGGGCTTTTAAAAAAATGTTTATTAATTTCTATCCTGTAAAGAAAAGCCAGTAGCAAGGAGATTCTGTACAGATAACATACATAATATTAACAATTTACAATAATTTAAATGTAGTTATTTCAAATCTAGGAAAACAAAAATGATGGCTATTTCCCGTGTATTTAACAATGCAATTGCAAATTTTATTTAGATAATCAGTTAGAGAAAGTCAATACAGAATAAAAACGATCTCCATATTCTTGAAAACTGCCATGGCTTTGCTGAAAGCTGAGAAAATATAAATTGGCACTTCCAACAGTAACTTATCACATGGCAAAAAAAGGCAGTAAAATGACCATTTTTGTGACTAATCTTTACAATTAAAAGAAACAATGTGCAATGACCTCAGAACGTGAGGAGCCATACAGCAATGTCTAGTAATAGTGACCACCAGTAAGGCAAGAGCAGAAATCTCACATAGCCTTATGCATCTACATTTGCTGTAGTTATCAGGACTTCTTTTATCATCAGTGGAGAGAAAGACATAGATCTAGGGTGCACTCCTTCTGGCCTACGTCAGTCATTTAGTCCGAGGAGATGATGAACCATGTGCTAAAAGGGACAGGTTCTCCTCCCCAGTAATAAAGGGAGCCTGGCTGACTCGCTCCGATGTAGATGTCTAAAGCTAAGGGGATATAAATCCAATCCAGTAGTCTGATATGGTGAAACAGTAGTTAGGCTTTTGTTGTAGTCTGCAATTAGATATTCCAGTACTTCAACAAAGCACTCCAGGATTAACTTGCAACACGACGACATCAAATGAAAAGATGCCAAATAGGATCCAGTGAGCCTTTTAAGCCACTTGCACTGAAATATTCAAAATAGTTAAAATCTTCGTAATTTCAATTTGGTAACTGATTATTTCCAATAAAAGTTAAAATCACTGGGCAACATTTACAAAAGTTGATCCTAAATTTCATCCTTTTGAGCCAGATGCATTCATCACTCAAGAGGGTAGATTCAGTACTATGCCACATTGATTTAATGCAGTTTCCACACCTCTACCTAAAGGGATGTTTAAAGAAGATGAGTCTCGAAATTGGAGAAGGCACTGCCATAACTACTTGTTACTTAGAATTAAGGTAAGCTTACTTTACACTCTTCACATACAGACAATTTGGAACTGAAAAGAGCTGTATCATAAACATGAACTGGGAACTGCAGCTTTTGTTGCTAGTTGGGAGGAGACACCTGGAGATTCTGGGACCCTGCTGCATAAGAGAAGTAAAGCATGACCATGTTACACATATTACAGATGTTCCAAGAGCAACAAGAAAAAGCTATTATCTGTGTTCCACCTTTTGGACTGCATCAGCCTCCCACTGAAATAAGTGGGCCACTGAAAGTCCTGTGCAGTCCTTTTTAAAGAAAGTCTGCAATTTCAAGACAACAACAAAGGATCAGAACAGAACCTAGTTCCAATTTTTACATTTACCTTTGCCAAAATTGAGTAAATATAGCTGAGTCCAAAAAGAAATTAAAAGAGATGAGCTCTCATGCATGGACTCGCTAATGCTGTTGCCTAGAAAAGTTCCCTACTACTGTGATTTCAAAGTTACTCCTTTAGCAAAATTGGAATGTGAGCCTAAAAACCTGTCCCTGTTCCCATCATCATGCTTTCCATTTGCGCAAGCTGTCACTAGCAGCAGTAAAGCTCAGGCATGTCTACACGGACCAATGTTGACAAACACAAGCTCATTTTCTCTGTACACTCATTGGCTTCGAACCAGCCACATTAGTTCGGTAGCTTGCACACAGCTTATCGGCTCAAGCACAGCACTGTGTGAACACAGCTACACAGCTTCCCAGCCAGACATGGCATGTGGCCAGGGAGCTTGGAGCACAGGCAAAGAGAGTGTGGATCTGTCTAAAGCACTCTTACCATGGCAGATGGATGGAGCTACACACAAAGAAACAGACTGCATTTGCTCCATTTATAGTATGCGCTTGTCATCCAGAAGACAAGATACACTGAGGTCATAATTAAAAAGAAGATGGTTGCCTACCACTGCCACACAATAAAATACAACACCTCTTTCTCTATGTATTGAAATCTGAGATTATTGAAAGACACCACCATGCTGTAAATATTGGCCGTAAGTGCTTTTTACAGCTCACTGCTGCATACTTGTATTTCAGTACATACTAAGTTTATCACTCTTTTTGCAAAGCTGATCATTCACAGGTTTCTTTTTAAACTCTGTCTTGATCTGTATTGTCTAGATACCACTCTAGATTACAGAAATATAGTCTTTTAAAACATCAGTGTATTTTTATTGACAAGCTGCATATTCCTATTCTTAGGCTCTTTAAAGAGAGTCTCTGCTAAAATTCAGAGAGCATCAGGGCTCTGTGGTATGCTCCAACAGATCCAATTCTCAGCTATCAAAGGACTGCTGCGGAGGTCACCTCTACTGGCAGGCTATATTCAGTCTACTATGCCAAACACTGATGTTCAGCTCAGTGAAACATCCTATGCAGTCCCATCCTCTTCCTTGTTCCCTCACTAAGCCTTGCAGGGAATATTGCAGTTTTCCTCAGTGCCTGTGTCTGAAGACTAACCCATTCAGACACTTTAAAAGAGCAGAAGTGGGTGCAAAGATTTGAAACCCACGTCCTGCAATTACACTGATCATATGCTGCTTTGTCCCTTAGCTGTGTTGGCTCTATATACCACTGGAAGGTGCACAAAAAGGATTTTAAAAACATAGCATAGGCATTATTCAGGTGAATACACTGCTATAACTTACTTACTTTTGGTTCAGTATTTTATTGTAATAACTTGCAATTATATGCACAATTGTTTTAGTAGATTTTACTACCGCTACATCCAATTTGACTAGATGCCTTTCCTGACGTGTATTCCCCCTTTTCCCTCCCCTTCCCACTCCCACACCAAAGTTCTGAACTACAATATTATAATTTGCACTGTCTGGTATTTTGACTCTTCTACCACTGTAACTTAGGTGTCTGGCATGTCAATGTCATATTATTGCACCAAGCAAGGCTGTGAATAACACTGTACCACAACATTTTAACTATGCATAACACCTCTTCTAGTCCAAATTTCAAAACACTTTAAAAATAAAAGTCCACATGAATGACTTACTTTTGCATTCAGAGGGCACACGGACAGTGCACTCCTAAAAAGCTGTTCTTCTGACCTCCACTGACTGCTGCGGAGTGCACAGCGCATTACATTTATCAACAAGATTCCAAGTACTGCCACAGCAAGATTTTTTTAGAGACAAGTTAAGAAACAAATCATTCAATTGAAGCACTTAATCATCAACTTTACTGACTGTTTTGATAGTACCTTTTTCTTGGCTTGCTTACTCAAGAGACTAAATCCATATGTAAACAAAATACAATATCCGATACTGGGGAGGTAGATGACTCTCTCTGCAATAACAAATCCTACTCGGAAGAACAGGTTACTTGCAGGAAGAAAAGGGATAATAAGAAATCCAAGTCCCAGTGTAAGAATTCTGCAAACAAGAAACAGATTCTCAAATTAACCACAAATCTTAACAAAAGTAGTATGTTATAGTATATGTGAAGTTCCACTTCATAAACTTTATTTAAAATTGTAGAAGGATGTGTGCATGGAATGGGGCATTCAAAAGCAGCCTCTGAGAGCTACATAACAAAATTAGATTTTTCTGTAATTTTTTGACATTTCATTACATCAGGCACTTTTAAAAGCCTAGCTATAATTTCCAGAAAAGCAATGCTCATGTTTCCAGGCCAGAAAATAGCCCCATTACACATTAAATACGTAATTCCTATTTAAAATACACAAGCAGGAGAAGTAATGGTAAAAGCTACCTGTCTATGTTTGTAACTAGTAAGACAGTAACAGGGGAAAAATATAGGTCATTGTTAAAGAAGAAACTTAGGTACATGTCCTACCAAGACAGTGTTCTCTTTCCTAACAAACACATCTATAGTAGAATCCATTGTGCTTAACCACCTTAAAGTTAGTCACCTATGCTCTTTTGATAGTCAGCAGAGAGAGGCACTTCTCGGGGGCAGTTTGTCCTCCTTGTTTTAGGTATCTATGTTAGGATGAGTAATCCTCAGCAGGTAACTCTTTATGAGCTCTTTATACAGAGCTTAGACAACTGAGACTAGGTACCTTGCACAGCTGACATAATATGAAAATGAATAAGAATCCCAGGTCTGTGTCAGGTGTTTTGTTATAAAGGCCACAGGCATGGTAGTTTTCTACTCTAATTTATTACAAGTAAATATCTGTACTGTAATGTGTCCTCTTACTCTTTTCTCCTCCCCAAGAGTCCTGGTCCTTCACTACACTTTTTGTCTTTACTTTTTACTAAAAAATTGTTCATCAATATAGGCTTAGTATTGTTTATACTAGAAAGTATGACATCACTTGTAGCAAGAAATCCACCTCTCTCCAAGATTATTTTACCCATGCAAATGAGCATGGGAACAATGGAAAGGAAGGCAGGTGGGATGTTAACATTTGACAGGACAAGGGGGGAAGAGATGAAATGACAGAATAACACAGAAAAGAAAGAGAAAATATTCAGCACTCTGAACAACAGAATGACCTCATTGTGATTGAGCTGTTGAAAAATTTTAAAGAACTGAGAAATTAATTATATATAAAATCCATGGGAACACACCCTGGAAAGTAAAACAGAATAGTTAACAACATTTTTTTTCAGTTCCTTTGGGTAAAGTACAAGCTGTTTCCTCATACCATTGGTCACCATTTTATTTTCTAATTGTATGGCCACGGCCAGCATTTCTGCCTCCTTTAAAGGCACATCTCCTCTCTCTCTCATTATCAGGAGAAGATAAAAGGAGATGATGACTAGTAAGAAGTAGGGCCAACAACATACATCAATTCCTACTCTGTTCTGAGCAGAGATTACTTTTTACCACCCACACTGTTAAGGATCTCAAAATGCCATTTCAGGAGAAAAATAAAGCAGCCATCCATACCTCCTCCTCCAACTCTGTTTCCCACTAGTCAGTGTACAGTGATAGGCCCAAACTGGGATAAAACTGTAATGACAGCTATAAATATTTATTTGAACTGCATTTGCTAGACACTGGTTCCATTGAATTGTTAAAATTATAAGTAGCAGATTTAACAAAATAATACTGTACTCAAGTTAGCCAGGCATTTAAAATTCATCACTGTCTCTTACCTTCTCTTATGGCTGTCTTCTGAGCACAGAGCTTGGCATATCAGACCAATTAGGCAGAACCAAAGTGCTGCTAGTGCAATTATCCTCCAGTCGCTGACGGATTTAATGAGGGGTATGCAGCCCATTGACCAATCAAAACACAGCCACCAGGGACACAACAGCAACCATGCATTCAATGAATAGTAGTAATTATAGTTTATAGCCTGTCCGTCAAAAAGAAAACAAACATTTATTTTATACTAAATGTAAGGGGCGAGGGGGGCAGGGGGGCAACTTTAGTTCGTCTCTCTGCTATAATTTCCGTTATTGTAAAATGTATCTTATACAATAAAGAGGCCTTAAATACTGTTAGACTACAACTACTTACATATCCATTCATTTTACAGCTGTTTCATTTTTTTTTTTTTTAAACATAGCTAGGTGGCTCCCCTATTCAGAGCAGGGCAATGCAATTCTGTGCTGTCCAGCCAATATCCACACGTCAAAAAAAATCTCCAACAATAGGAGAAAATGGCAAAAGACAGCACCCACTGTCTTCATCTTTCATTCTCCATCTTCAGAAAGAGCTTTAATGCAGCCAGAGGTATAAAGCCTAGACATACTCCAAATGCACCAGACCAGAACTTCATACTATTTTCTTCAATTGTGAAAGAACAGATGAAGAGTCAAAAACAGTCTGTGGAAAAGGGATGAAGCCGAGCAAAAGCTAAAACCTTGCATGCATGGGAAAAGTAGTGAGTAAATGGAAATGTAGTCCAATGTGTGCAGCACATGCCAAACTGAATACAAAGAATATACAAGGTATGCTATTTTTAAAAATTGCAGAAAACCATCACAGCAGCAGAAGGGAAGGTGACTCATCACACATCTTGAAACGTAAAGACTGCCCACTTTACTGTTTCTTTGAAGCACAGAAAATAAAATTCAATTTGATGACAAAGACAAATGTTCTGAGTTGGCCAGAAAAAACCAACTTCATAACTTACTCTCACAAACAGACTGTCTGCAAATGAAGCTGGGTTGTCTACTTCAGTGAAAGCCGGTGGCCCTGTGCCCATAATCCTCCAGCGTATATAAAGTATACTGGCCCCTCCAGAGATCAGAAGAGTTATCCTGAAAAGCAGCCCCCTTTTTAACAGCCCAGCATTCTACAGGAAAGAAAGCAACAAAAAAACCTCATATAAAAACATTGTTTTGTTCTCTTCCCCCCTACATTTACATCCCTTTCACCACCATCTCAGAAAGAAGAGGCTATTCGAGTTGACATTTTTCTTATTTTGGATTTACTAGAAAGCTCTCAAACTCTATTATGCTTTCATTGGCTAACTGTAAAATACTTTTTGTAAACATTTCCATCTCTTTCTCAATCAGAAAACTTTATCATTCAAGAAGTCTCTCTTCTACAAATCCTCACTAACTCTGTAGTTGATGTAATTTTACACAGCAATTTCTGATAGGGAATTTGAGCAGAATACAGCCTGTTAGTATACAGCATATTAAATTGATCTATCCTTTATGTTTAAAATGGAGGATGATTACTTTGTGAACTTTGTTTTAAATAGCTACATCTAGTTGACCGCTTTTCACATAAAGTTTTGTCCACTTAAGTCTCTTTAGAGGTAAAATTACATGACTGAATACAACAAGAAAACCGCAAAGTTAGAAACTGGGAGGAATGAAAAGTCAAATTAAAATTTTGACAATCACTAGCTTGATTACAAAGGTAACGACAGACAGGCACCCAAAGCATTTCAGTCAGGCTAAAATTACTCAAGATCTACAAAAAATTGTGTTTTATCTACATTAACTCAGTTGATTTACATTACATATTTTATAAATACACACTTTAGTGTCTAAAGAAGGCAATTCACACAAAACAGAGAGAAGTAATGTAATAGAAGCTAAATTTGACACACTTTCCCATTTTTGTAAAGTATAACACATTTTCTCCAGGCACTCATTAGTTTCATAAATGAAAATAAAAACACTCTGTACTGTAGAGGTTCTTCAAGCTTCACCAGTAGAGACTGGAAACAGGATCATCAGTAACTACAATATCCCTGTCACAGCTTCAAGATGCAAATCCAAGCTTCCAACACCCTACCCAGCTGGCAAATGGTAACTCAAATAGGAAATGAAGAGCTGCCTTAGAGCTGTCTGAAACCTGATGGCTGACATTATTCTACACAGCCTCAACAAGTCTTTAGAGAAGCAGAAGACAGAAGATGAGAGTTTCTCTGAAATGGGAGATCGTTTGGGCCACTTCCGTTTCCATTCTACACATCTGAAGGTGAAAGTCTTGGTAAACTATGGATTTTTACATGGAAGAGTTGACTGGCTCCTAAAAAAATATGGTCATGTGATCTTCAGTATTAGTTTTCCTTTATTCCTACCTTCCTCCCTTAGTCTGATATGCTTCTATTACCTGTAAAAACCTACCTGATAGTTATACCTGATCAGTTCTATGTCCTCCACGGGAGCTGGCACACTGATTATTATCACCTATTATTGCAATATGCTGATTAGCAGCCACCACCATAATTACTTAGGAGATCAATATTAGTTATTTCTGAAGACCAAAAAAAAAAAAATGTCGGCTTACTACACAAGGACAGACATTCAACACTGCCCTGGCTGAAGATATTTATTCTCTAAAATTATAGAAAAGTTAAGTTTAAAAGCAATATTCAGACGGGCTTTTAATATTTGTAATTGACAACGGAGCCATTATACAATATTTAGCTGAATGCCTAAGGACAAACAAGTTTGTAATGTTGATTTTACATATGTTAGCCTTTGTGGTCAAATGGTTACTTCCAATTTACAAATGTCAGTAACCAAAGTCACTACAATGAGGATTTCAGGAAAACCATTCTTAAAAACTGTTTTTGGAAGAGAATTGTGCTATGAAGAAAAACCATATAGTGACAATTTGTAACTGCCTTATGACTGAGTAACTGCACGAAACCTCTCATCCCAGACTTCATTTAATTTAACATCACATGCAGCTTCTTAAAGGCCAGATTTCACAAATCACCACAAAATCTTGTACTATGCAGAATTTAACAAGTGGAAGAAGTATTATTGTACCATCTTTGATTTAGTTAACCGAAATCTGGCATGAAACTGAAACCTGTCTCAATCGAGAAGAAAAAAAATTCTGCAAGGAAGAGAATTTAAGACCTGCCTTTCAAAAAAACAAACCAAAAAAATTCAAGATACACTTCCACGAAAAGAGCAGAACAGATTTTTGTAAGTGGCAGGAGCTAAAATTAATTACTTCTATTAAAAGAAGAAGAAAAAAAAAGGCACATTTGATGTTTTCTTAACCCAGACAGAACTGTTTAAAAGTCACAGAATGGAAGCATAATGCTTTGAGCTCTTCACACTTAAAGAACAATCCTACAAAAATGCTTGACTCTGACACATTTCACAGAATCATAGAATTGTTTGGTTTGGAAAGGACCCTCAAAGATCATCTAGTCCAACCCCCCCCGGCCATGGGGAGGGACATTTTTCACTAGATCAGGTTGCTCAAAGCCCCATCCAACCTGACCTTGAACCACCTCCAGGGACGGGGCATCCTCAACACCAGGCAACCTGTTCCAGTGTCTCACCACCCTCATTGTAAAGAATTTATTCCTTATATCCAATCTAAATCTACCCTCTTTCAGTTTAAGACCATTGCCCCTTGTCCTGTCACTACAGGCTCTGGTAAAAAGTCCCTCTCCATCTTTCTTATAAGCATTTTTATATATTGAAAGGCCACAATAAGGTCTCACCAAAGCCATCTCTTTTCCAGGCTAAACAACCCCAACTCTCTCAGCCTTTCTTCACAGGAGATGTGTTTCAGCCCTCTGACCATTTTGTCACCCTCCTCTGGACCTGCTCTAACAGGTCCATAGCTTTCATCCAGCCCAGAACTGGATGCAGTACTCCAAGTGGGGTCTCACGAGTACAGAGTAGAGGGGAAAATCACCTCCCTTGATCTGTCATCCACGCTTCTTTTATATGCAGCCGTTGGTTACAGTTGGCTTTCTGGGCTGCAAGCACACATTGCAGGCTCATATGCAATTTTTCATCCACAAGTGTCCTCAAGTCCTTCTCCACAGGGCTGCTCTCAATCCATTCATCCCCCAGCCTGTATTGATATTGGGGATTGCTCTGACCCAGGTGCAGGACCTTGCACTTGGCCTTGCTGAACTTCATGAGGTTCACATGGGCCCACAAGCTTGCCAAGGTCCCTCTGGATGGCATCCCTTCCCTCAAGAGTATCAGCTGCACCACTCATAGCCTGGTGCCATCTGCAAACTTGCCGAGGGCGCACTCAGTCCCACTACCTATGTCATTGATGAAGATATTAAATAGTATTGGTCCACGTATGGATCCTTGAGGGACACCACTCGTTATGGTTTCCACTCAGACACTCAGCTATCAGTGCTTACGTATTTTTTCTTTCAAACTCCCAAGCTACTAGGAACTGTCTCTTGTTTGTTAATTTGTACTCTGAAGAAAACAGTGTAATACTTTAGTGGGATTAGCAAAGTAGACATAATAATTTTTATGTACATTTTCAAACGTCTATCTTATTTAGAATCTGAATAAATATTTTTCTCTTTACTTTGACCAAACTGTGTTAAACCACGATGTCAGGTGTACACCTACTAACCCCGGAGAACTTGTTGGATCAGTCAGTCAGCTCTTCCACACCATATTTTTAAAATACTGTTGAGAGAAGTGTCGAATGGATTTCTCTATCCAAAGCAATTCTAATGCTATCCTGTTACTACTCATGTTGCTGCAAAGATGTAATCGCGCATTCCCCTAATAGACTGAGTGAAAATACCTCTTTTTTTTTTTTCAATTCTCAAAAACAACAAAACTGTCAGGAGTTGTATCCTTGTCTTTTAGTACATGACTGTCTGAATGGCCAGAATGAACAAAACTTGAGGACTCACCTCCGACGACTTGTCTTTATGTAGTAACTTTTGAATAAGCTCCAACACATTTAGCTTGTTAATTACCAGTGCATCAAACACTGCATTCAAACCCTAAGCAACCAAGAGAAAAATAAGAGCATAAGATGGAGCAACTAACGACAAATATTTTTTAAATACGTCTTAAATTCCACTTCTGCCATGACTTATTGTACATCTGAATTCGGATTCCAAACAAGTAGAGAGATACGTTGGTAGTAATGATAGCAGAATGGTAAATTAAGAACCTGAGCTCAGATGAGTAGAATATCATGTTACTGTAATGGGGATTCTCCTGCTACATGGAATAACCCCTCGGGGAATACCATATAGCAGCAAGCTACACTCCAAATGCATGGTCACAACAGTGTTGTTTTTTGTCTTCTTTCACAGATGTTCTACAGTGTAAATGCTGCAGTCAAAAGGCAAGGTTTCTGTCAGTAAGGTGGAGTTTCTTTAAGCCTTCTACTTATTTTCTGCTGTGCAGCATGGTATCTTTTGACTGTCAGGTTTCAGAAATACTGTTTTTAAAGGGTACATAAATTGTCACAACACACAAAGGCTCAGAAAGATTAAACAGAGGTATCAGGCTTGTTTCTTTTAATTACACCAATATACACAGTGGAAGATGCTGACAAAAAAATCAGAGTTCTATGTTACATCAGCCATGACATGTAAAACTAGAGCACATTCAGTGCTTTGCAGGACTACATTTGCACATGCTACCCCCAAAAAAGCAACCACAATATAACTAGGGGTAATTCTGTTGAGGTGACCAGCAAAATCTAACTTTAACATTTTCCCTTCAATGCTTCAGCAATCACCAACTATGACAATCCTTGAATATTTAGCCTATATCCTAATAACATTGGAAATTACCTCAACATTCTAAAGACTGAATGGAAAAAAGGCAGTAAAAATAGTTTCAGGTGAGGAAAGAGTTAGGACACTGGGAGGCCACAAGTTACTTTCTAATAGTCAAAGGAAGAAGACAGAAGATAGGTTAGAGAGTGGCATGTTTCCATGTAGAAAGGCCACCTGGCAGTTAAAAGGCTTTTGGCTCACTTACATGGAGATAGGCAAGAATCCTGCTAAAAATATATATGCAGCCTACAAGCAATCTTTGTAACATGTGATTTATCCCTTTATCCCACTGACCTCTGCCCCTAAGCACAACAAATATAATTGCCCTAGCAATGCAATAGCAAGCAAATAAAAAACCCAGATCCAATAATAATTCTGTGTCTGCTAGCTCCAATAACTTCATACCACTAAAAGAAATAATCACACCATGTTTTAAGACAATTCCTTATATTTTCCTTACAGACAGCTTTGAAAAATACACCACTCTACAAACATCTATCAAAAAATAACATCGTAAAGCAAGAAGTTTTCTGTAATTTCTTCCCCCTTTTTTCCTAGCAAAGACACAAAGTTCTTGCTGCAAAGAATTCTTCTGATTCTGTTGCTTTATCTATGTCAGTTAAAGCTATAAATTGGATTTGTTTATAAAGATACATGGCTATATAACAGGTAAAAATCACAGATGTAGTATTTCAGGTGGCTGATTTGGTCACCTAGCATCTTCACTGAAGTAATAAAAAGCAAGAGCACAACGAATATGAACAGTAACTATATCTGTTTGCATAGACAGATCCTTAAATAAGGAACAGAAGGAAGAGATTCAGTATTAGAAATGCATAAACAATGGCCCTACTTCTAATTACACTGTTCACAAAAGCAAGAGGGCGGAGCTTTTAAAAATGCTCTCCTCCAGTTATGTCTTTGTTCATAAGCCTTCAATAAGAGTTTTGTAGGCCCCCTGTCTCGACAATTACATTCAAAACCAAGGCCAACTAACATGATATGCATTGAAACTAAGACTGTAAATATTTAAATTTTGCAAGACTTTAACAGATACATGCAACCTGCTTACAAAAAATAAAATGAAGAATTCTAACAGATTGGCAGGGATACGATCAAGACAGATCTACTAGAATACTGTTTTTGTCATTAACTAGTTTTCTGAACAGAACAAAAAGCTGTGCATGCAATTAGCTGTGGAGAAGATTAACCTTTGTAGGTTTTACAGCTGCACCTGACAGATGCAGAGGTCAAAATTCAGTCAATAAGAGGATTCTTACCAGTATTGTAATTCCTTGTTCTTTGCACAGCATGGCTACTGCACCTAGGATAACACTCACCAGCACCCAGAATATAGAAAAATTATGTCCTTCCTTATCTGTCAAAATAAAGCATGCCATAACATTAGGTATATACATTTAAAGGTCAAATTAGAAATCCAAGTTAAAATTAGAATTTTAAAAGCATACAGTACTTAATCTCACAATCTTTTCTGTCAGTCAAGGTCTGGATACACGGACTTGAAAAGCATAGGGCACCTCCTGCAATGTGCTGGCATTTGTCCTTTTATTGCAGTCATTTTCTGTTCTCAGAGACATGAGAAATCTCCTGGTTTGCTAGACGTTTTAGCCAGACTAATTAGAATGGCAGAAGCTTTACACAGTTTCCCCAATTCATCATCTGCAAAGTTTAATTCCCAATATTTAGACACATTTATCATCCTTAGCTAGAGCTCTGTCATTACTGGCTACTGTCTTCCAAGCTACTATAAGAACAAGAAATTATTTCTAATGGTTACACATGAAATGTCACATGCACAAACTGTTTTAACTGTAGCCTTCTCTACAAAGGTACAATGAGCTGCTTCTCCAGGGCTGCTGCATTTAGCAAGTACCTCATGTCATTTCATTAACACTGCAATGGAATGCCATAGAGCTCAAAAATTTCAGCATCTGAGCAGAGAAGCAGTTAGTTCTTGTACTCGGGAAGCAGTTTTACAGTAGGGTGAGGAACTCTGGGGTTAAGAGATCAAGAGTAACTACAGCATCTACTCAAAGAATGAGTCTTTAAAGAGTGCACCATGTAGCCAATTTTGGGTACTACAAGCAGGCATTTCTGAGATTAATATAACAATAAGCCCTACTTCAGCCAAGGTACTATCACACACACAGTACATAGGTACTTCACATAAAAACATATCTGTCACAACCTCTACTCCACAGGTGCAAGCAACAGAGGGAAGCACTCAGCTCATTCAGAAGCAGTTTCTTGATTCAAGCAACATGGGCTCACAAGAATTAATCTTTGACTTGGCATGTGAAAAAACAAAGTTGAACTCTATTTTCGTTGTTGGAATCCCTTTCCTACTTTCCCTGATCTCTAGAGCAGTTCTTCCCTACTGCTAATACAGGTCTGACCCTCAGTACTTAAACAGATCTGCAATAATGGTCTATGGAAAGGGTAAATGGCAGAATTAAGATTATTTCACCAGAAGTAGGAACCTCCACCTGAGCTAGTATACTAGCTTCCTTTCTAACTGGTTGAGAGAAGGGGACACCTTTAGGGATTAAGTTTCATAATTAAATGCAGTTGTCCACCTTTCAGAGAAGTAGCTCTCTCTTCACTGTTTATAATGTTGGATCAGATAGAAAACGTAACAAGTGTGAAAAGGATCCGCTGACATTGGCCTCTTCTCTCATTTTGAAGCAGACTACTTTTGTGGCAGAGAACAGAAGTTTTCATAAAAATATGTGGAAGAACAGGTTCTGAAATTGCTTCTAGCACTTCTTACCTAAGACTTAAAGCTTCAACAGAGTGAATATTAAAATGTTTGAGATTCATCACTGCAAAACCTACTAGGCATTTGTTCCTTCTCCCTCCACTTCACATTACGTCCTCACAGGTGAGGTAAGTCTTAACATCAGAGGTGTAGATGTTATAAAGTTAAAAGAAAGCCTTCTGAAGGAAAGAAGTCATATATATACTTCAACAATACCAAAACAAAACATGGAAATACAAAATACGTAAAGACTACAGAAACATTGCAACTGAAAAAAAAAACCACAACAATGCAATGAGGAAACTCCAATTCACATCAGTTATACTGAAGAACAACTGAGGGTTGCAACTCATGGAAGAAGTGGCTTCAAAATTTGTTCTAAGAGTATTGCTAAAAATAAAAGGAATCTGTCCTAAATACATCTCTTGAAGGAGCTCTTCAGACTGCAATACAACAGACTGTTCAGCCAGTTCTTGAAATTCTGTTTTAGTTTGTTTGCTTTTTTTTTTTCTTTTTAGTGTAGAAATAAACTAGCTGAGAGAATGCAAAGGTGGAAGGCCAACTAATCGACTGTGTTCACAAAATGACAATCACTCTTAATAAGGGTAAAAGGGAGAACAGTGAAAAAAGCCAATGGACTTCACTAAGTTTACTGAAGCATACATTCTTCAACCAAGAGACTACTTCTTCCCAGAACCCAATTCCGCTGGCAAGAAGTCAGGACAATGAAGCACTTCTCAGAGAAGCAGTATTCAGTAGACAAACTATATTAACACACAGGATTGTGGGAAGTATATATAGAATCATAAAGGTTGG